ATCGTCCGTATGCACATGAACCTTCACACACCCACACATACTATACATATATTGAGAGTAGTAGTCGCCCATCCATCAATTTCTTTTCTGAACTGGATTTTCTGCTTATCCAGTTAAAGTTACATGGGGACTGACAGCGGGCCAAAGGCAGAGGACACACTAAGCAGGTCGCCAGTCCATCACGGATCAACTGACAATCAGTTTTAAAGGAGGACTAGAGGTAGCATATATTGTATAATGGTATGTTTTTAAGGTCATGTGAGAAAACTGTATTTTCCTTCTTACTGGTTATAAATACATCTGTTAATAAGTTGATGAATTGTTTTAGTGTCAACAGGGTCAGATTTGGAGCAGTTAGCACTGATTAAAGCACAGTACTGGGATACTGTTTCAGTTTTTCTCTCATTGTAATCAGTGCAGCATAGGGATGGGTATCGTTTAGGTTTTATCCGATACCGGTGCCAAACCGGTACTTTTGAAACGGTGCCGGTGCTCAAATGGTGCTCAAACCGGTGATTAAAGAATGGAGAACACAAAATTGGTCCAAAAACCTCTCATGTTCAGCTGTTTTTTTGTAAAAAGATAACAATGTTAACCTTTTCTGCAGCTATGGGGCATATATGGTATCACTCTTGGCTGGAAAAACACAACAATGGAAAAAACACAAACTTTGTCCAAAACCTCTCATGTTTAACTGTTTTCCACTTTTTCTTTTTCTTTCCTGTCCGATAACAGGCAACCCACCCGCAGTAGATGCGCTCGGTGTGAGGTCTCACAGCAAGCTATCAAATACGGCGCATTTCTTGGCTTTTAAAAAAAATGCTATACGTCGCCAGGTGTTTCATCGGATTTGAGGTGTTACCTCCTTTGACAGTATCACTGTCATGATCCGGAGTCTGCGACTCCGTGTTTATGTTTAGTTTATTAGTATTCTGTGGTTTTGGTCACCTTGGGTGTTTATACTCTTCTGTTTCATAGTTCATGTTCATATGTTCTGTGTCCCCCAGTCTGTGTTAAGTTGGTGTGTTATGTCATTGCTAGTATGTGTTTCCTGTTTTATTGTGAAGGTCTGCGTCTTATGTGAGTGTTTTCAGTTTGTCTCCCTACTCTCGTCACGTAATCACTCTCAGCTGTGTTCCTCACCTGTGTGTAATCTCCCTGTGTTCTCTGAGTGTATTTAAGTTTGTCTTCTGTCATGGTAGTTGCTGGTTCGTCTGTGTTGTTTCCCCTCGGTCTCCCTGCGTCTCTTCATGTGTATTTCCCCGGATCTCCCTGCACCGTCATTCCTGGTTTGTGTTGTTAGTTTACCCAGTTTAGGTTTTCGGTTTCATGTTCACACCCCGTTGCTGTTTGTACCCACTCCTGTAAATAAATACTCACCTGCACCAGAGCTGCCGCCTTTTGGGTCCTTTCTCCACCTCCACACGGCTTGCCCCGGCAAACCGTGACAATCACAGTATCAGCTTAAAGCACTTGTTGCAGGCTGCTGAGTTTGCATATTTTGCTGTGAAGTACAGCCAGACTTTTGACCGCTTCGCCTGGGGCATTTTAATCTGTAGCTCTGCTCTAAAAGAACGTACGTGCCTGGACCCGCCTACTATCCTCGGAAACGTAAAATGATTGGCTAGAATCTAAAGTGTATCACAGCTCAGGAAAAAAAAGCACCGAAATAAAGCACCGAAATGTGCGCTGCTTTTCGGTCTGGTTACTACCGTTTGTGCCATCCCTAGTGCAGCATATTGCCAACAGAACTAAGGAATATGTTATAAAGCAGTCAAAATAAGCCTGACATTAATTATGATTTACTGTTTCTTATGAAACTTAATGAATGTAGCCCCTGTATGTAGAATCTAAAAGCATTTAAAGGGTTTGGTTCCTCATACTAATTAATGTGTAGTTTGTACAAATGTAAAGTAGATGGGAGAGCTCACTCGTTTTGACTTCATGTAAATTGACTATTTTGAAACAGTATAGATCGTGCAAGCATTTAGTTAGTAATCATGTAAAATAACAGAAACTGAACAATTGTAAAACTTAACAAAACTTAAATGAAAAAAGTAAGGTGCTTTTAGCTGGTCACTTATTCCAAAAGCGTCCCCACAGTGGGTAGCTCTGTATGTTTGATTTGGTAGCTTTTTTCAATGAATGTCCATCCTAAAGCAACCCCCAGGGGATTTGTAGCTACACCACATTAATAAATATGTTATAAATACAAGAACTTTTACTTCACATGTCAAGGGCGGATGCTGATTATTTTTTGGAAGTCATAGCCAGTAAACACATTACATAAAACATGCCATTAGAGTTAGAAATATTACTTTTTGATGTTTCATGAAAATAAGAAAAAAAGAAAACAAAGAAAAGAAGAGTAGCGCTACTAAATCTAGTCACAGCCTAAAGTTTTTGCAAAAGTCGGTGTGTGCAGTGAGTTATACTTGCCTCCAGACTTAGACAAGCACCTCTTGTTTGTCACAGGTTTGTTACACGATTAGAATACCAAAGTCTAAATAAATGAACATGAGTGAACCAGCCAGGTCACAGGCCAAACACAATTAATGCTATTTTTTTTAGGCAGAAAAACACAAGGAAGAGAAACAGCAGGGAGCTGATCATTCTAAAAATAACAAATTGACATTCATCACCATAACAGCTGTGGTAAAAAATGTTGCACGCTGGTTGGTGCAAACAACTGGAGATGTGTCCAACTGATTGTATCTAACGGTGGGGCAAAGGAGGAGCAATCCAGGGGTGAAATTCAGGGTGAAGGACAAGTACAGGCGTCAATTGAGGCAACAGGCTACACAGAATAATTAGATTGCAAAATAGACACGTGGGAGTCTGTGCAATGACCTTGAGCCTTAACAATGTAGATATATTTTACAGTGACATTTTTAAACCTGCACACTGCTTCAGTCCGGTACAGTTACATTTAAATTGCTGGAGACTGTCTGTGCAGGATAAACTAAATTAGGTTTAGGTTTATTTGCTTTTAATGGTGAGAACTGATCCTGATTTAATTGTATGGGTAAGTAGAGCATGGAGTTACAATCAGGCAAGACAGTGAGGCTGAAATAGTGGTACTGGAATGAACACTCAGTTTGAGCTATTTGTATATTTGTTTCTCCTTAGTTGTAGTTGCAACCGGATTTTCAACATTCATACTCTTTTAGGATCTTCATCAATCTTATCACTTGTTATAGAAGTTCAGAAGTTCTTACTAGCATTAATTAAAATCATTCCTTCTAACTAAAATCCTTAATCCAGGTCACTTAAAAACATTATGATTCATGTCTAGAAAGCAAACCAGTAGGAATATGTTGATTAAACAGTCATATACAGTCTGATGCAAACATCCACAAGAGTAGTGCATGTACTAACTCTGACAAGTACTGGAGAGAATTTCATGCGAACTGTTTTAGTTAAATTTTAATCATTTGTTTTTTAATATAAAATGAAATTATTTCTATTTCACATATGTTTCTGTTGCAGAATTGGACTGTTAGGAAAGTTTAAAATTCATTCATCTACAGTACATTATCAAACTAATCACAAGATTATATTGCTTGGCTATTCCAGACTGTACACTTTTTCTGGTGTGTCCCTGTAGCTTTTGTTCTTACAATTGAAAAGGGAATTGTCTTTGGACTGTCGGTGTGCTATGACCACTTAAGTAATTATTTGAACAGGTCAGCCTTGGTGCTAGAGAAGAAAACAGCCTGAAAATACAGACAAATTTAGCTGATGAAGCCCTGACGAAGTGTGGGTTAAAGCTCATTAACTTTTGTGAACAAGTGCCAAGGCCTTGTCTCATGGTCAAAAGACAAGATTCATATGGCTTTGAGACATGCTGTACTCATTTGTCTTGTGGCAAATATGTCTGTGTGTATTGATGTGTACTTTTTGGCAACTGTTGTTGTGACTTGGTGCTATATAAATAAAATTGAACTGAACTGAATTGAATTGATGTCTGATGTATTACATAAATGATAATGGATAATTAAACTGCAGAATGCTAATCAACTATCATATACAGGATATAAATATGAAAACATACTGCCTCCATTCCTTAAAATTAAAGTTATGTCCCACTCTTTTTTAACAATCCCATAGGAAAGATAAAATAGTTTGTTCTATAGACCCTATTTATTCATCTATTCATTTATTTGATTTAACCAAATGAGGAGCGTCCTCAAAATGGTTCTCTGAAAACTGACTGGTAACACTAGGGGGCACCTTCCACGTGAGCTTAACAGAGAACCTAATAGAACAGAAAGGACAACATTGCAAATAGCTCACAAAAGTATAACATAAGCACTGCATTAGCCTTGTCATTTTTTTACGAGTTAAATGTTCAACATTCAAAGAAAATATAAGCCTACAAAACAAAATGAAAAATAAATAATAGTAAGTTCTAGCATGTGAGATTGGGACTGCTACTGTACAGTCCTTTTGTCTGTAATAAAAACAAATGTTTTAGTTTTAGTTTCTTTTGCTTTCAAACTAAACACTGAGCATGATGAAACAGCTGACCTGACATGCACGTCTGTATTTTCTCTCTGTCCTAAACGCCCGTTCTCTTCCATTTTACACATGCTAATGATTTGTAGATACAGGGCTTGTTATAGAGATGCTGTTTTGTGTGTGTGAGAGTGACTGCACTCTAATGATTAGTAGAGATCTTCACCTGCATAACTAGCTTTTTGATGTCTGCTGTTCATCTGCTTTCTTCACCACATATTTGTTTCTGTCATGGAGAAGGCATACTGCTCATTCACTGTGTCTCCTTTTCTTGTCTTTTCCTTTGCCAACCTGTCTGCCCCTTCACTGCATCTATATATAATCATTCTCTTTGACTGTCTCTCCTGTCTCTTTCCCACAATTCATGTGTTTATCACTGTTCCTCTTCTTTTTTCGTGTCCCTGCTTCACCTTCTTGCTGCCATTTCAGTTTCGCTCAATCTGTCCTTCCTAATAATTCTCATTCCTCACTTTATGTCTCCGTCTCAGGAAAAGACCCAACCCTCTCTTCTTCCAGAAGCAAGTCATTAACTTCTGTCCCAGGTTTGTGAAAGATTTTGTGCAGTAATGGTGTTCTGTTCTGTGTGTCTGAATCAGCTGCAAAGATGTGTAAAATAATTACTACTGAAATATCCATCCCGCTGTTGACTTCTTTGAGAAATAGCATTAGTTCCCCCTTTTGTTTCAGATTTATTCTGAAGTCACTTCTAATATAGTTAAAAATCACATCTTCTTTGTGTCCTGTACAATTTAGTCTATCCATCTTCTCATATCTTCTTTCAACAGTAATGAGTATGAAATGATGCAAGTTTCATATAGTCATATTTTGAAAAGTTGATGATACACCATTGTAAAGATTCTCCTGCCTGCTTTGAAGATGAAAAAAAAATCTATTGATCTCTTTTTGCTGTAGATTCAGGCCTAGCTATAAAATGATAAAATCTGATTAAATAGCAGCCTAATAGTGAAGTTAAACATTACCCAAAAATGACAGACAACCAACAAAAGATGCATAACATTTTAGCTTTAGATGTGCCTGTGTGAAAAATAGAAGAAGAAAACCAAAACTTGCATGCATGGCTGCTAAAAGTGATATATCTTTGCTGACCGACCACCGTAGCACAGGTAATTGCATCTGTGATTTAAGGTGTGGGAGAAGCAGGTGTAGAATTTGTGGCACTGTTGTAGGCATGGCAATTATTTCTATTCATAGCAGACATTGTTAGTGTGGTGGAGTTAGGGTTGCCAACACTATCTGACAGAAATCCAAGAGATTTTAGTGGGGGGTGGGGGGGGGAGCTGTTTGTGTATACATAACTGTTTCATTATATCAGACAAAAAGACAGAGAAGGCAAGAGTTAGAGTTCAGGCACTGAAATTTAAGAAACCTCTGTAGTGTTATGACACTAAAACCACAGAGAGCAAGAATTAAACATGCTCTTTACAGTTTAGCTACACAGAACCACAAAACAAGTAAAAAAATATATATATCCCAAGAAGTCTTTGGCTTTCCAGACATGTGCAATGTTTTACATAGTCCACCATCAGGACTTAATTGGCAGTCTGCAGTCAGTCAAATTAATTCATTGGCAGATGTGCTCATTTACATCATCTGTGTTTGTAAATAAAACATGTGTTGAAGCAAAACCTTCCAGCCCTAATGATAATTTGTGGTAGATTTATTATATCAAACCCTGAAACCCTTCCAGCCTTTCCCATCAAGTTCTTCCCAGCTCAGGGGTTCTGTTGGGGCAGAAAATTTAACAGCGCTGAATCCAATTACACGATATATATTATCTAAGGAGTGCTTACTTTACAGGTAAATTTGGTGAAATGTTGTTAAAACAAAGGTTAAAAGTGATTAAAAAATAATTTTGACGGTGTCAAATATCTTCTTGTAGTGTTTCTTACTACAGTAAAACAGAAAAAAAGGTGCATATTAATTTTTTAAGAATCTGTTGACACAGTGTTTGTGTGTGACAGGTCTGGAGTGTCACCTGTTTTACTGTTACAACAGGATGCCAAAAGGTTGTCAGTCATAATCATTTCCTGCTTTGTTATCTAATTTACTCCAATTGGGATAATTTATAAGTGAACAAAGGATCAAGTTGTGTTCAAACTAGTAAACAAAAAATTGAAACTTATCAGCAAAAAGTTACCTGGGCCATAGATCAATTGAATAGTAGAGTAATTTTCTCATAGGGTTTTATACAATTCAACACTTTTCACATTGGCTTTACTTCCAAGGCCCTGAGTAGGGCTGGGCGATATATCGAGTTTTTTAAAAATATCGATATATTTTCATACGAGATATAAGATGTGACAATATCGTTTATATCGATATAGTCTATGTTACGTTATAATTATACTTGTGGAGCCGCAGGTTTGCCTCTCTTTCGTCCACTTTTGTCTCTACGCAACGTTACTCGGCCTCGCCTCTCCTGCACTGAACACAACTCCGCCTCCCCCATAGCGTCACCTGCAGGCAATGACAAGATGAAAGCGGAAAATCTCCGTTAGCGAGTTACCGTGCGTGGGGCTGGATGGCGTCAACGTGTTAGCGAGCTAACCACGCTAACGACATGCAGCCCAGAGGGGCTGCACGGCCTAAAATCCTTTCCTTTTCTCAAAAATCGACAGTGCGCCTTATGTATGAATTCTGGTTGTGCTTACTGACCGCGAACCGATTTTATGTGGTACACAGCGCTCAGCAATCTGTCAAAAAATGTTTTAATATGACTTTGCTAAGCTACGGAGCTGCACCGCTTGATGGATTGTCGGAGAATTACGGCTACAGAGGAGGAGCCTCGCGGAGTGATACGTACAGTGTGTGTATAAGGACCACAAATGGCACCTGTTCAGAGACGTGGAGCAGCTGTGAAATCTGTCTCTTTGTTATTATGCTCAGCGTCTTTTAGTTTACATTTTGACTGCACAATTGTGAGCTTTTTGTTATGCACAAAAACAACATTATTTTCTTTTATTTATGGACCATGATTATTTAATATATGCTGATAATTTATTTTTGAGTAATATCTACGCTGTATGTAAATAAAAGTGCCCGTGTGACATCTGGGACACAGTGTGACTAAGAACTCTCTTTTTGTTCTTAACTTATGGCTTTAAAAAGAAAAATCGAGATATATATCTTATATCGCCATCCAGCTAAAAAATATCGAGATATGAATTTTGGGTCATATCGCCCAGCCCTAGCCCTGAGGCAACATCCATTTTTTATAAACAATCTGTGCTCCCAAATTCGCAATGCAAGGCTGTTTTAAACAATTTTTCTGTCCATTGATTAGTTCTATCTATTTACATTTTCAGCTAATGCTATTAATTAGAACTGGGATTCTCATGTTTTTTTTTTCAATTATACATATGACTCACTAATCAGTAGTTCAACTTTTTTTTCTCAATTTTCCCAAACTCTAGGTATCTGACCTCAAATTTAAAAAAGTGATGATATGGAGCTAGTTAGCATTCCTCCTTCCATCAATAGACTGCACTGACTGTGTGCAACTCAGCAGAACATACTGGAATGCAACTTTTCAACCTTATATCCTTCATGTCGTTCTACTTACCTTTATTATTTTTCTTTCAAGAATATTTTTTTCCTGTCAGTTCAACTGGGTATTAATTATGTCTGCTGTTGTAAATTCAGTCTATTCACCAAAGGATCAGGGCTTAGAGGCACAGTTGTACTGAAGGCCGTTCAGTTGAGACTGCAGCAAAATGAAGAATGGGCTCTACTCTCCAGAATCTTTCCTACTCAAGCTTTTTAATAAGAGTTGCAGAGAAGATCGAGCTGGATAGTCAAACTCTTAACCGTCTGTCTTCCCTGTCCTTTCAGTCTATTTGTCCTCTGTGGCACACTCAGCCCCATGCTTTGATTCTCTAAAATTTCCATCATTACAACCCTTTATTATCCTGGTTAATCCCTCTTGCACATGTCCGGTGTAGACTGTAAGATGGAATTGAACAGATCTGTTCACCGACTCTCTTCTCTTCTCCTGTGTCGTTCTTTTCATGCCCTTTGAAAGAGCAGAATTAGCTTTTCCCTGTAGCAGCAATGAGACTGGCTCTTGTCCCTTTCAGTCTCTCTTTCTGCTGTCAAATAACCCACTTTGCTGCTCAGCACTGATATGATTACGCTTCTTTTTCAGCTGGATTTAACACTGAAGTCAGGGTACGCCGCTCTTGTAATACCGTGAAAGAAATTCTGGAAACACTGGACAGTCATGTTTCCTGTTCAATGCGGACGGTGAAAGAAAAGAAAAAGACAAAAGTAGGATAAAAGACAAAATTAAAAGTGACAACTGGGGGCTATGCATTAAGGAGAAGCAGAAATAAAATAACATGGATTTGTTAAAAAGGATGTGAAAGACACGAGGCAGCAGCTAGCTGGATGAAATTGTCAATAAGTGGCTATTTTCACTCAGTGAAAACTTTAAGTGCTTTTTTTTAGCTACTTCAGCAAACTGAGAAAGAAATGAAACCAGAATGAAAAACTACATAACAGCCTTATAAGAAATGGGTAGACAGCTAGTTAGAGGCTAAAAGAGACAAGAAGTAGACTAAGAAATACTGGCCTACTTTAGTATACTTCAGCAATAGTTTAGCTAAAAGTACTTTATTTTAGCAAAGTGAAATATATTTGTGAAGTTAATTTTATATAACCCAAGCCTACACACTGCTAGTCTAATTAAGAACCATTTTCTCATGAGAAAATTAATTGCTCTTTGAACGGCACTCTTATTCACATGAACATCAATTGCTTGCAACTTGCAAGGTTATCTTCATGGTGCATTATAGTGAGAAATGAGGTGAGAAATAGGATTGGTTGTTTTCCTTTGTTGTTGCTTTTTTCCCCAAGTCCTTGCGTTTCTATGTGTTGGCATGGCACACTGGTGCATATCTCTTCTAAAATGACTTGAAAAGAATGCCAGCAGAGTATGGATTAGGGATTTTCTGAAGCCAAATTTCCAAAGCCAACTTTTTTATGATATTATGTTGTTTTGTTAACACTGACAGCATTTCAAGTGCATTTTATGATTTTCAAGTTCAGCTCGAGGGTTTGTGTGCCCATGAATGTGTAGTAACACAGACAACTTACATAAGATAAAGTTTTCTCCGATCTTGTTCTCCAGCAAACTGCTGTCTGGAGTGCAGCTGCACGAGCTTTCAGCAGATGAGCTCTATGTGTGTGTTTGTATCAATGTGCAGTTTTTGTGTGCTGGCATGTATAGGAATGCATATGTGCTCATGCAGCTGTGACCCCTCCATCAAACTCATTTGTACTTGATGCCTTTAAAACACAGGTTTGATTTTTGAGAAGGGATGTCTTGACACACCCCCGCTGAGCTTGCTGACTCTCATGTCTCTCATGTCCCAGCTTACCTTGTCACATCGACGCGACACGCAGACACATAAAAATGTAGACACAAGCGCACACATACGTATCTCTGCAGCTGTGTTTATACTTAACTTGGAAAGCATGCCATATACTGGATGAACTATGAATATATCTGAAACCGGTCATTTTGCAGCCTGCATCATTTTATCTGATTGCCAGCCTGGTTGGTCTCCCTTTTTCACACTCAGTTCTTTTTTTCACTGTTTTAAAAAAAAAAAATCGTACTTCCATTTTTAATCATACATTTCTTCTCTTCCGTTATTTTCCCTCTACCCTCGTTCTGCATGGAGCCACAAACAGGAAGAAAAGAGGTCAGTTATGTATTAACAAGACAAAACTGTGTTCTTTTGTTTTTTCTTCTTTTCTCACTGTCTGCCTCTTATGGTATTAACCGTTTGTGCTACTCATAACTGTTCCTACTCGGTACCCGTTCTCCGTACATGGATGCAGCCACATAACTACCAATACTATGTTGGACTTCAGACAACATTGCAAGCCTGGAAATGACATGGCCAATGACACTAGCAAATGACCTTGCCATACTGGTATCTGAAACAAATTCAAGTGAAATTTCTTCTGTGGTACTGGTAAATGTAAGTTCTGAAGTTATCCCTGATTGTTATCAAACTAATGTCTATCTGGGTCTATTTAGGGAAATTAACCTTACCTTAACCTGTCTTCTTTTTAGAAGAGTTACATTGGCTAATTTTTGTTTATTATGGAGAAACACTGCACTAAATAACTCAATATTTATGAATTTCATAGTGATTTGTAAAGTAAACCCTGATGCCCAAACATGCACAAGGTGAATATATAAGGGAACACACACACACACTTCACCTTGGGAGCCTACCTAAGCGGAGGTGTGCTGTGACCCTGTGTTCTAGCAGATGGTGCTTGTGGGCAATACCAGCAATAACCATAGCAATGTTATCTCTGTTTCTCTCTCTCTTTCATTTTCTTTTATTTTCTTTTCTCTCTAAAGTGATTACCTTTTTCAGTACTATGAATAATGTAGAATAAAATGCTTAAACGCTCTCATACAGCATATTTGTGTCTGTTTGAGTGCATTTCTTATGGTAAATTTGCAACATAAGCATTTATTTGATTACTTGGCAAATCTCATTACTCCTCAATGAATTTAATGCAAGGCATAGCATGTGTATTTAATTTAAGTGTGACAGACTTGCATGTTCTCAGAATTGCAATTTCCTTTTAAAAAAAGCAGATGTGAATTTGTCTGCCTGTGAACGGTAGACATTGTGGACGATGGATTTATGCCCAGACTGTTTACTGATGTAGGAATGGAGCAGAAGGACGTACAGGAAGAAGCAAAGAAAACTAATGAGCAAGAAACAACACCCAGCCTTTATCATGGGATACTGGGGGAGATAAAGGATGATATTTTGGCTCAAAGCAAGAACAATATATATTTATTCCCATAATCTCCTGAATATATATAATATATACGTGTTTCGAGAGTATGAATATCTGTGTGTTTCTGCCAGAGAGAGGGAGAGAGAGAAAGACAGAGAGAGGGAGACAGCACTATAATGGCAGAACAGAAATACCAGAGTATGCTTTATCACTTACCTAATTATGTGAGTTTGCAAAACTAATCTACTACTCTATTAAAACAAGAGACCCTACAGCTCAGGGTTAAACAAAAGCAAATTACATTACCCTGTCACACACACACACACTTCACTTTTCCTTTACACTGCGCCATTCTGTCAGCCAGACTTGTTCCCATTCACCCATATCTCCTCTGAGATTTTAGAAGAGCAGTCATGCATAGAGTTTAAGTCGGCTCCGAGACGATATGGATATGTAGTTGCTCTTTAAAAAAAATCCCTTGTTTCTTTTGAACTTTACAGTTTCATTAAAAGTTGATTTGATTGAAAGTCAGAGACGTGCTTCCTTTTGTTTTTCTTGAAAGTAACGGGGAAAAAAATGCACATGGGATTGATGATATTGTAGACGTTATTTTCCTATACACATGAGTGACAGTGAGGTCCTGTTGTGGATAAGATAAGATAAGATAAGATAACCTTTATTAGTCCCACACGTGGGAAATTTGTTGACACGTGACACAAAACATGTAACATTTATAAATTCAATTTGTGATTTATCAGTGATCAATTTATTATTATTATTGTTTAATTGATTTATTGAGCCAAACTCTAATCTTATATTTCTCTTTTATCCGGTTGATCTTACATACTTTTTGCTAAATCTAATTCACTGGATTATGAACATGACACGAAATGGTCATTCAGAGTGTTGCAACAGAAGGTTTTTTCTTATATTGAGTGCAACTATAGAGCAGACCAAAGACAACAGATGTTGATGTAATCTGTAGCTATGATTGGCATTTAGAGTCTTTATTACTCTTTCACATCAATAAGTCTGCTTCTTTTCACAGTTAGTTTATCTGATCATGTTGCAAACAAAGGCGATACACGTGCCTAAAAATGAAATATTTACTTATAAGGCTTAATGGTTAATTTGGACGCAAGTGATAACTTAGGAATTAGATGAAACTGATATTTTATTGCATCGATAAAATTAACCGGAAGAAAACGGATGAAGATTAAATTAAATGCTATCTATCTCACATTTCGTCAACATGTATGCCAGTTATTTTCCATTCCTGCAAACCAGCCAAACAATCAACCAACCAACAAAAAGAGAGAATACAGAAAGACTCATTCACTAAGTGATGAAACTGAATGAAAGGTTGTAAAACAGGTTTAACAGATTATCAGTGTAAGATCTAAAAAAAATTTCAAAAAGCAAGGATTCATTTCTACACTTTATGTAACAACTTTAATGACCATGGGGGAAACAAATTCATAAACTGGTGTAGGAATTCCACAGTGGATCACAATACAGTAGTATACACCACATATATCACGTTTTCATCCAACCATCTTCATCCACTTATCTAACTCAAGGTCGCAGGGGGGCTGGAACCTATCCCATCAGTCACAGGCCACCCTGGACAGGTTACCAGTCTATCATTGTGCTAACACAAAGTGACAATGGTTCATGCTCAAATTCACACCCAATTTAAAATCAGCTATTAATCTAACCCCATGCATGTATTTGGACTGGGTTAAGAAGCTGGAGTAGCTGGAGACAATCCATGCATACATGGGGAGAACATGCAAACTCTACACAGCATGGCTCGCTTTAGTGCATGTGGGCTGATATATGTGAAAGTTAGTTTCACTAATGTGATGGTATAGTGTACTGGATTGAGTAGGATATTGTATTACAAGTTCTGGGTTTGAGTCAGCCCTGAGGCTTTTTACTGCATGTCTTCCCCCTGTTGTTCTCTCTCACTCTCCTTTCTACACTGTCCTCTCTCGATAAAGGCTAAAAAATAATATAATAATAATTTTAAAAAATCAGCTGAGATTCGTACAATTCTCAAAAACTTTTTGTTCAACTTACACATTTTCAGTAATTTTCAATATTTGTTATTTGTTGTTGTTGAATCATAATCTACTACTTCTTCACAGAGTTTGCATTTACAGTAACCTTTCTAAAATTCTTCAACACTTCATAATTCTGCATAATCTTCCTTAGCCTTGCTCATTAGCTCATTAGTAACCTTTACTGTTTAGGTTCACTATGTAGTAATGAAGGTGAACCAAAGACAGACACAGTCTTATCTTTGCAGGAACCAGGCTTGTATTTCCTTTGGCAGTAAAACTGGTGCACAGCATTTTAGCTTTTACCCTTAAACTTCAGCATATCCTGACAATTAATGGCCGACTATTATAATTTTATCACCTGTCTGCATGGTCACTTACCAAAACATTCCCATACTTTCACAAAACAGTATCCTTCCGCCTTTCATCAGTGAACCAAAAGAAAAGTAGCTGTAGCAATACTGACTGAACAAGCGCCCAACTTTCAAAGTAAAATCTGAAATCTTCGAAGCACTGACTCAACCCAACTAAAAACATGTCTCCAGCTACTGTTGTCACCAGGGCAAGAAAAACTATTTTGACACCCAAATAAATAAAACAGTTTTTTGCTAGATTCACACAACAGCACTGCATGACACAGCCCTCTCATTAGCCACCACATTGGCTGTGTAGAATCTGGTCTGTCATGCAGCAGTGCATTGCAAAATTCACTGTAATCTGCCAACATGCTGTGTTGGTCAATCAAATATAACTACCACTTGTGTTATATTTGTAACGTGAACTTTATTCCGCAGTGGTTTGGCATCTAATAAGACATCATATTTCAGGTCATTTCAGTAAAAGTGGACTTCCGGGACCATAATCTAAGAAGTACTTCAGGAAAAGTGTGCCAGCACAAAAATGCAGACTCAGATCAAGTTAGTTCTGGGGATAAATTCCCTGCCAGTGTATATCAGTGCACTTATTTGCAATCCCCCTGAGTCAAACTCCAGCTGTTGACACTTGTTTAGTAAGGTTACAATTTAACTCCCCAGGTGAGGACACAATAAACTTGACAGCACTGGTTATTATGGGTCATATGGGTCATTTTGGAAGGAAATGACAGCTTATTTTGTCATTCAGGTTGGAGAACTGAGGTTGTCCTCAGTGGGGTACCAACCCCAACTATTGCTGCCACGGATGACTGAAAAATACCAACTGAGCCAGGCAGAATAACAATAGCAGTTGTAATACATCCTATACACATTTAGTAGGATGGGTATTTGAATGTTTTCACTTATGCTGGGTGCCTCTGAGTTTTTGTACCAAGGTTTTGTGTCCTCCACAATCCTCAGATAAATATTCTAAGAAAGCTAGTGCCCGGGAGCAAATTTATCTAAGGTCAGCCTACTTATCCACATTTCAACAGTGGTCATTTTGTGCCTGAATGCTTACCCTCATATCAGTTGACCTCCATATGAGAGTAGCCATTTTATGTCTGATAGCAACAAAGATTCAGTCCGTGTGGGCCAGAGAACAGTTGGTACTACATAATCATTACAACTATGAAATGGTATGGTGAGACAATAATTGCTGTTCTGACCAAAGTCTGTAACGGAGGTGTGTCTGTGTGCATATGTGCCCATATTTTACAAGCTGAGAAGTCTACATTTTATAGATATAAGTGTGACAAAATTATAATTACTTTATACAGACTAGAACCAACATTTAGGAATTGAATGTTAATTTGAAGAAACGGAAGAAAGATGACATATACTTGCTGTGACCTGCATAAATGAATCTTTCAGCTTCTATATACTTGCTGCTGAATTAAATATTTGCTGAATGAACTGTGCACAGGGTATAATTAAATTACTAACATCGGGATATGCAACACTGAGCTCTGACATGAAAACACACAGAAACAGGAGGGTTTGCAATATAAACCATGGTTCATGGATTGATTGATTATAGCACACACCCATCCATCCTTTACATTACACAATGTGCAGGGAGCATCACAAATAAAACAAACCCGGAAAATAACCATACTATATGTCAATCATGTTCAGTGGGTAGAACGGTTGCCTATATATATATATATCGCTTTCATAAATGTCTTCATATATATATAAAGACAAAAATGACAAGTAGCAGCTGAGTGACAAAAAAGACACCAAGGAGGAAACATATTGGATAAAGAGGAGGTAGCATCTGGCAAAATAACAGGGGGTTTGGACCACACACAAAGTCCAAGCACAGATGAATGCTCATGTTGGCACCTGATTTTAAAATTTGTATATGAAGTTATATAGGTACAACAAAAATGGGGCAAAGCAACCCTAAACATGCTGTGGACAGGCACGCATGCATGCTAATATGCATATTTTTAAACCTGCCACAACACATTGGCATCTGTGAAACTGCCATTTCCACTGGGGTCACTCGACCCATCAACCTCTACCTCCTGAGTCTAGTTGGCATTTTCACAATAAAAGGCAGAAAGCATGAAAAGAGAGTGAGAGGGCTTTTGACTGTCAGCTAAAAACTCAGAGTTGGAGGGTGGACAAACAGTTCATGTCACTGCTGTGCGAGTTCTTTTTTTTTATTACGCTGCACTGAAGAAATTTTTAAAAATATCAATAAATGTCTGTTACAGCCAGTGGCTTGCCAGACAAGCTAACAAAATGCTGATTAAGCTTACTGACTTTTGCAGCTGCAGTTTAAACTGGTATTTGTGTTTACATCTATGTGTTTGTATACTAGTAGTGTTTACATCAACCAGAGTTGACGACAGGAACTGTAAGACGGTTATTTTGCATTAGGAGGAATTGAAAATAAAGTCATGGCTAGAGAGACTGCTGATGTGATTTAGCTTTTCCTCATCAAAAAACGTGTCAGCATGTCATGGTCCTGGCAGATGTTGCTTCTCTCTCCCTCTTGCGCTTGTTTTTTTTATCTTTCTGTCTCTGTCTCTTTCACTTTTTATCTTTTTTTCAGTTGGCATTTGGGAGAGGCTCTGGCTCTGGTTTACAGTGGGTGAGGCTGCTCCTGCCTCATGGGTCCAGTGGGTACACCTGTTCCTCTCTACTCATTACTTCTCTGGATTTAAGGACCGGCTGGAACCTCCATTCTCCTCCAGATTGTTGACGCCTGTGTGGGAGTAATCAGGCTCAGTTACTATGATCTCATCACTCTTTTGCAGTTCCCTGACTGTTCTCTCAGCCTATCTCCTAGTTATTCTTCTGGCTTGATTCCTGGTTGGACCCTGCAAACAAAGAAATCTTTTACTTACTTGCCAGTCCACTCTTCACCAATCTCACCCTCTGGAAATCCTTGCGTGTCTCCCCCATCAGCAGCTACATGAAGAGATTCAAGTAAGAACACAAATCTGCTCTCAAATTGTATAACAGCGGCAAATCACATTAGTTCTTTACTAACCTGTCCTCTCCACTCTGGCAGTCCTCTGGTGAAATGCTGCCCAGTCCCTGAAAAGACACTCTTACAACAGTAATACTTGCCTGCCTCAAAGCTCTTGTGTTCGAGTTCCTTGCTGCAGATAATAAAATTTGCAAACCTGCCTTTGTCTCTGGGGTCTTTCAGCTGAATTGAATAACCCAACATGTGTCCTTTTGCTGCCTAGATACTTACACTTAAAGTATGTTTACCTGCAAATGTACACTGCTTCTCCACTGGCAGGGGTATTAATACAATAAATAAACACTTGCTATATTCTATTTGATTAACTTTCATACAAAAAAGTTGTTTTTCACCCTCGAGTGTGTGTGTGTGTGTGTGTGTGTGTGTGTGTGTGTGTGTGTGTGTGTGTGTGTGTGTGTGTGTGTGTGTGTGTATAAACACTGCTAACCCTCTTTGACATTATTCTTCCTCACATAAATAAAGAATCAGTGCATGTATATGACTTACTATTGACAGGATGCATTATTAAACAGTCTGGTGGTCAAAGACACAATTTCCTTATTTTGTCTGCTGTTATTTCCCAGCTTTATTGTTGGTGAATGTGTGGTGCAGCATGAATATCGACAGTGAGCAGCATTATTTTTTTCATCTGACCTTCATTAATATGGAATAATATACATACTGTAGCAGTAAGTGCAGCTGCATTTGGAAGTCAGAGATTATTAGGCATCACTCTGCATCACTGTAATGCTTGCTGTGCTCTGAATGCAGCTTTTCATTATATGTTTATTTATTTGTTCTGCAAAGCAAACAAATAAAAAAAAATGTGTTCTGTTCTAATCATTACAGACAAAAATACAGAGAAATTGGGAATGTGATCATGTGAAGTAAAAAAAAAAATCTGCATGTGTAAACACATGACGTGTGTGAGAGAAAACATTTAAAGCATATGCTGTTGGTCCCATACTTAAAAATCCAATACAACATGTTGATTTTGGGCTTTATCATATCCTAGACCTGCACAGTCACAATATATACTTTATTTTGAAGAGAAATTGACTTTTATTTCTGTACAATGTATTTCTGCAACATAAAGGTCAACTAAGAATGACTGGAGTAACATAGTAAAATGATAGACAAAGACAAAACCAAGAATTACTCATTCTTTAAGCTTATGAGCTGATCAATTTAGAAAATCTGGCAGAAATGAATGCTCTGTGTAAACCAGTGATATAATTCCTGCGACTTTTTGTTTTCTTTTTCCATTTTTGAACCTGTGCTGATAATTTATGAGAACATATACGCATAGACGAACAACTATTCCTGCTTTTGTCATGTTTACTCTATTTGAGAAAAATCCCGTCTTTAATAACAAACTGCTCTTTCATATTGCTCAGGTAAGTCAATAACTTGAACTTATTAGAGAAAGTCAAATATACACAATATATATCTGGCAGATATCAAAATATATTATCAGTGTTGGAGGAAATTAATGATTACAGCCCTGATAAGGTAACTAGTATCCGTGATAGTGTGCACCTCTAAAATAACCTCGGCAGTCCTGTGTGTTGCAAAACATGTTTGTGCGCTTGTAGTTGAATACATTTGCATGCTAATACCTCTACAAAATGACACGTGTGTGAGTGTGTGTCTGTAATGTGTTTGTGAATGTGTCATACCCTCTTCCACTCATTATAGTAGGACATACTCATGTGTGGCATTTACCTCTAACCTCTGCTCCGCAGCAGGCACAATTACTGAAAGGCCAGACTTTTCAGCTAATGTCCATCATATTGACTCTCTCTTCTCTCTCAGTTCTTATATATATATTCATTTTCTCCTCGTCAGACTTGGTAGTGTTGCTAATCTGAAGTTAAAAGAAGAAGAAAAGAGTGGAGTTAATTTGACATGTAGTTAAAAAGGTGAAGATCAATCTTTCTAGGACTCTCGTTAATGAACCGCGGCTGTTTTATGTCATTTAATTTCTGTTTCTTATGTCTAATGCATCTTCCCTGCACTTCAAATCAAAGACCAAGCAAAGTCTCCAAATCCAGTGAACAAGATAAAAAGAGAAAGATGGAGCAAAAGAGCAAAGGATGGAAAAAAGAACATAAAGACAGAACGGAAAGGGAAACCTGATTAGGGGCAGTCACAGGCCACCCTCCTGTCCCTCTACCTGCCTTCTTCTCCGCGTCCCCCACCCCTCCTACTCCCTCCATCCCCTCTCCTTCTTCGTCTGCAGGTAACAGAGCTCTTTTCCGGAGAGGATGGGATGAAGAGATTAAGAGAAAATTACACCGAGTCCTTCTCTTTGACAAGACAAGGGAAGTGGAGAGTTGAAACTTCTAACAACTTTTGAGAAGTCAGGGTCAGAGGTCAGAAAGAAAGGCTGAAGAAGAGAAGGACAGACGGATGCACACAGAGAGAAAGGGATAGAATAAGCTGTCTGGGATTTGAGGTCGTAGTAAATGAAGGAAGGAAGACAGAGGAGTGAATTAGAGAAGACAGAGAATCTCTACGTTGACCCTTATTGTGGTGGCAGAAATAAATTGTGATCTAAAGGTCATGAGACTGAGGACCAGCATTTCATAGACACAAGAAAGTCCGCCTTTCCATTATTATTACTATTTTACTAGGATACCACTACTGGTATTACTACGACTGCTACTACTGCTATAATAATAATACAAATTTAATTAAAACAGGGTTAAAGAAGGATATGTCAAATTCAGGATATGGCATTTTTGTCTCAGAATAATGAACTTTGTCAAATCCTTGTCAATATATAAAAGACAAAAACATTCTAACACACTATTAGATGTTCTTTGTTTGCATGTTCATTTTGTTACATTGTGATCAGGCACTTTTTTTCTCTGCCATCAGTTTTCTAATTTGTGACTCAATTAATAAACGCAGGAGAGTAATTTTATCATAATAATTAGTCAAAAGGATGTGAATTAAGGCCTCTGTTGATGAAGAAATTGGAGAAACGACTCTTTGTGATTACAGGTGGTGCGAAATATCAACACAACAATATATCATGCGAGCTTCCTTTTGTAACACATTATTGGTAAACTGGCACCAGTTATTGATAGAATATTTATCTAAACATGCAGGCACTTTAAATGGATTCCCCCACGAATATCATTTATCCAGAATCACTACCTCATGACTCATGGTGGCGTATATCAAATCAATTAGGGTATTGAAAGGAAGTTAACTAACTTGGAGTGAAGAAGAACAAATTCAGACATGGCACACAGCAGGGGGAAGCAAATCAGAGAACAGATTAAATGACTAAAATATTACTAAAATTGAATGAATATTTTATTTCTGCTTATTCTTCCATTATAGATATTGCATTTGCTTTGCAATTTACTGTGTATTCCTGACACTTTGACAGTACAATTACCCTCGTAATTGAAGGTAATATACTGTAATACAGCTGAAACCAACATTCACCTATGGATTCAAACATGCAGTCAAGCGTCGAGGTAGCTGTTTTCTCTGTAAGAAAAACATGTTACAGGCATGCTAGGCCCTTATAATCATGGAAATGTCTAACAGAATAAATTCATGATTATATTTAAAAGGTTAAAAATGATCTTTACTGCACTATCATAATGTTTTATAGTGTAATTTGGACCTTTATTCAGAAATATCTTGTGAATGGATTCCACATGAGTTTAGATACTAATTTAGTAGTAGTAATCACTGATGCCAGCCTTGCAAATGCGGGGACTGTAATAGACCTTCTGTGCTAAGATTTTAGCATTCATAGTTTCTTGGCACAAATATTCATATTTGAAAATTTGAATCATTGCACTGTCATGTAGAGAACATGGCATTATATCAGAATTAGTTTTATTGATTGATAATATGATGGGTTTGCCAATGCATTTAGGCATAAGGCTTTAATTGTAGTGTTTATGTGGTGAACTGAATGCTTCCTCAGACCCTTTCTTTTTCACACTGCCAAAAATAAAACTGTCGGCAAACAACCACACACATCACCACGTGCTTTTAGTATAAACAGCCACATTGTCCTATTCTTTGTGTTCAGCATCTTCAGCATTACCATATGAATGTATTCGTATATAAAGTAGTAAGATAGTGAGTGCCAATTCACAGATTCATAACAAACGAACAAACAAAGCAAAACACTGTACTATGCAAAACCACTGAATGGCATCCTTAAGCAGAAGTGACGTGGCACAAGCAAAAATAAGCTCTAAGTAAATGCATTCCAAATTTGTGAGATTGAAGTTTGGAAAGTCAAAAAGGCCCACACAAAGGTCTCACAAAGGCACACATCAAAATAGCTTTAAGCAAACGAGCTTTGCTGAGACTGAAACTAGGGAGGGTTGAAAGAAGTCCTTTCATGCATAACTCATCAAACCAGCACCGCTGTTCTCTTATCATTACCCAGCAACCTAATGTTATGTGATGTCATTCACAATGCAAAAAGAGCAAAGCGAAGACAGTGAGCTTACATTTATTAATATTTATGCATTTTAGGACTTTGAAAGATGCTGAGATATAGCTTGCCAAGACCTTAATCAAAACATGAAATATGCATACCAATATTTGTTAAAACTGCAGTGTCTCATTTGGAGCTGAAATATTTCAGAATGAATATATTATGTATCTGTGCAAATTTATCTGGGACTTATGACTTGACAAATTACACCGAAGCACCATTTTTGAGTAATTTGTTGAAAAAAAAAATTAGAAATTATTTTAAATTAAACATTACAGTGATTTGGTGGAATGTGTTTCTATGTTGTGCATTAAAGCTGCTTAATTATTTATAGGATATTTGCCATACTATTTTTTTGCCAACATGAACACAGCATAAATGCATTAGCGTTTGTGTTTCCTGTCCATGTGTGCACATTGTTTGTATAATATGTGTGTATTATCAGCACGTGCATGCAGAAGTTCCTGCTGTTTTGTAATTAAAGCTGAAGTAAAGTCTCATTTCACTTACTTTGCAGTTCTGGGGGTTAATTGCAAAAGCTACACTGCCTCTGGCAAGCTCTCTTCCATTTTAGTACTTTCCTGTGCAAACTACAGAGAAGACTGTCCATAGTAAATGAGAGGATGTGAAGATGCAGATA